TTGTTCAGTTTAATAGTCTCGCATCCAGCGGACATTTAGGTGCATAGCATCTCTTGCCACTGCTAATCTGTGTGTTGCTTTGTAGCCTGTGTTGCTGGGATAAGCAGGTGAGCTTGTTTTAGAGGATATCGCAATTAACGAGCTATTATTCCTACTCCAGCTATGTGATATGAATTAATTGAAACACCCTGAAATGATTTTTTCTTCTTTTTCTGGACGATGTTGTTTGTGACATAAACAATTGCCCATGCTCTTGATGTACGTATATGGCATTTTGGGCGTTACTCACCATAAATTTTAGAATGCTGGCATGAACTTATATGGCATACCATTTTTTTCCTTTTATATGCATCTTGCAACAAGAATATGGTTGCGTTGACCACATCAGCTGGTGAAGATTCCATTCGAAAGGTACTTTTTTAGGTTAAGATGTTGGGATGAAGGTGAATTTCTTAAACTTTAAAGTTGGCAACTTGGTGTGCTTAGGAACATGCAATGGCACTCTTTTAGTTTCTTCAAATTCGCAATGAAAATAGCCCAAAATATTCATCTGGTGCTGGTAATAGATGGGATAGAGGACATTAAGACGCATCCCAGGCACTTGCATGGTTGTGACCTATTAAATTACATTTTGCGAATGGCTTGAGATAGTTGAAATCTTGCAAACAATCACATGGACTCTACATGATTCATACATTATGATTCGTTGCATTCGCCGATCTGTTATCATAATTTGAAACCTCAGCCATGATTTACCCCATGGTCCAGTCGAGTCTTGCACTTACGCATGTCCCGGGAGTTTCGTTTGCATTTTGAGTCGTATGCCTACTCATTCCACCAACTAAAAATTTATCGCGCAAAGCAGCGAAACTAGATGCCGGTGTGACATGTAAATGACAAGGTTGCTACTACCTATCAGGTTGAAAAATTTGCTGCAATACTATTGGCACGTGATTGAGTTTTTTTTTTTTAGGTCAGAACAAGTGATTGAGTTTTAGTGTGGCCATTGAAGCAGCTCAAAAGCCTAAGTCCTCCCTCCTCTCATTTTGTGTTGTTAGCATAGCTAGGTAGGATCAGATGGGCCACTTTGATGTTCTCAGCCAGAAGATCGAGACATTTGCTCTCTGAAAAGGGGAAAAATAGAGCGTGCAAAGCAATTTATACGTATCAAGTCATGCCAGGTATACTAAAACCGAGTTACAAAAATGATATTCCGAGAGCGGAGAGTGGGTGATATTTAGCGTCTTACAATAGCCTGTCACATCATGATTTCTTAAGCACTTGGTATTATTATTTTTTTCGCACAAAAGTAAAAAGAGATTACTTACACGATAACCTCTATTAGTTGCGAATTGCTTGCTTGTATTCGGGTCCATTACAACTCTTCATTATGTGGGTCGCCCGTGATCCCCACCCGTCGTCTCCACGAAATGGAGAGTTGCTATAGATCCGATATAATAGACTCGAATACAGGCAAGAATTCAGCTCTATATGGCTACTTCTAACTAGGGGTGATCGGTTCTCGATCCAGTTCGATTTCAAGATGGAACCGGGAATCAGACTAGGAGGATCGGTTCCCAAAATTGAGAACTAAGGACTCGACCGGTTGGTCCTAGAATCGGAAACCGGACCAGTTCGGTCCAATGGAATCAGTAACTTTTTTTTTTCTCACTACTTGATGCCATCTTTTTATGTTGAATTGAGTTATATGTATGTAATGATTCTCAAATTGAAAAGACGAATTAAAAAACGTGCTTCACTTAGGGTTTCGTTCACATTTTATTAATTTTTTTTGAAGAAATAAAAAAAAAGTATATGTAGTCAGTTTGGTTCCCTTTCGAACCGTGAACCGAATCGCCCGGATACCAGTTTCACTTTTAGGAATTGAGAATCGGATCGACACTCTCGGGAACCGGACCAAATCGGTTAGTTCGATCCGATCCGGGTAGTTCTTGATTTGGGCGGTCCATTTTGCAAACCTCTGTATCTATCGCAGGAAAAACTATAGAAATCCAGGAGTCCTCACATGAAGTTCAATGCCTGCCAATGACAGGGAGAAGCCAAAAAGAATCCATCACCTACCTTCTGGCCAAGCGGATGGCGGAAATATTATTATAAAGCATCTTTCCCATCACTGCTGACTCATGACAGATAAATGTTCTCACTGTGATTTAAGTTGTTATTTTCAATGAATTTGTGATATACAATAACTAGTAGGAGACGAGGACAGTGGTTGGGGTCAATCCGTGTTTTCTCCTCTCAATGAAACTCCTAAAAGACCTTATCAGATGTTAAATGTTGATCAGTATGATAGCTAGTTGCTTGGTTTATTCTTTTAACCGGTTTAAGCATATATTTACGAATTTTGAACTCGAGATGAGTATGAATATATGATAGCCACTGGAGGAATTCTATAGCCATGGAGCAGTCCGAGGTAGCAGAAGCCACTTGAAGACATTGACTGTTATCTCCATGTTGAGAAGCTTCGGGCTTCCACTTTTTGACATACAAGGACACAACTTTAATGGGTACTTTAAACTTTAAAGAGCAATGCTAGAGCATCCCATGATTTGCAAATTTCTTATAAAATGATTCGATAAAGCATTATGTGGGTTTTTTTCCGCATGAGCTTAGAATTTATCGACTCATTTGATAGATGAATTTTGTGAATCAATATCCGTACGACATTTTCATAAATATCATTACACGAGTCTTCATTCATGGGATGAGTAATCAAAGGCAGGATAAAACAAGTTCTCAGTAGGCTAAGAGTCCAGTGAACCGATTTACGGTGAGAAATAACATTTTTTTAGCTATGCAAAATCCATCCGAACCGTTAACTATGTGGGATCCATGTGATCAATGGCTCCGATGATTTTGTTTTACATTATTTTGCAGATGACGCACCAATCTTCTCGTTTTGGGAAGTAAGGTTGGAGAAGGCAAATCACCTTTTTGCTGTCAAGCGACAAAAGACATCGGACAATTGGAAACTACGGTCATCTTATGAAGCTTCCGGCTTCCTTTTGGCACGCAGGAGGACAGAGACCATTTTTGTCGTCATTACAAAAATCAGAGGGGAAAAAGTTGGGTCTTTCCTAGTAAGAGTGATCATGAAGCAACTCCTTGGTTGAGCCCACTTTCGAATGTCGTTTTCTCCCTCGGAGGCTGGCACTAGATTGACCAAAACTAGGCCAATAAATCATCTTACTAACAATCTTTAAAACTGTTATAAGATTTATACGAAGTGAAATCGAATCTTAAATCTGTTTAACTTAAATCACATTTGTCAATATAGGATAATATGTGACGGCATTTTTTAACAAAGATTTTGAATCTATTAATTGCATTCATTGAAGGGTTGGACACGATTACGCTTTTCTATACTTTTAAGATTTTAGGATCCGATCTTATTTAAGATTTGATTGGATAGCATATAAATGGATTAGGATTTATGGTGAAGTTTGTTTTCTGGATGATGAAGTGCATTAGCATGTATATAATCTAAATTGAGTATTGACTTTTTTTTTTCTAAAAACCGAAGAAATGTAATCTATGACGGTTTCTTCAAATAATATGTTGTAACGAAAATTAAGATAACATGAATAGCATCGTGCTTATGAAAAATGGAGATCAATACTAAAGCATGATATACAGGTTCACAACTAGTAAATATTAATTACACAAAGAGCCCGTTTGGTATTACTATAGCTGAAAGATGTGCCGTGAAGATCATTGCAACCTTTTGAAATTGAGTGAGATAGTGTCTTAAAAACTACTGTATTTGGAAGTGCCGTAACTGCTGAGATGTTTGCCAAACATCTACATAACCGCTTCTCAATGCTATAATAGTTACGAGAAAATTATACCAAACAATCTCATACTATATGCCCCAAATTTTTGTAAAAAAGATACACCCACATTATTCAAATCTCCTCTAAATACCATATATTTGGCCCCCTATCAACAAACCGCTTCTCATCTAAAAAAAACTTCGAATTGAATCATTCCCTTTGAAGTTGGATAAACCATATGCCGTACTCATCGCATCTATGTGGTGTACAATTGTTTTATCCATACAAAACTCGAGAGCCTACAATGCTAACTGGGCAGCCCCCTCAGCCAAAAAAAGCACATCATCTTGTGCTGCACTTAATAGAAGGATCACATTGCATCTATATTGAAAATTTACAAGGACTAAATGCAACAGAAAAGAAAAGAAAAGAAATTATAAACCCCATTGAACACTAAACAAAAGTTCAAGGAGTGCATATCCCAGAAAGAAAATCACGTGAAACATAAAATTCATGGTAAAAAAAAAAGTGACCAAGAACGTGCAAAATCAGATGACCCGGAACATCTCTTGGGCAACATTAACAACATGCGAATTTGCCCCTTTCGAGGATACATGACATGTTGGATGGATAAAGAGAGAGAGAGAGGTATTATATTCAAGAATTTCAGAGCAAATCATGTTTGCTAACGGAGATGGCCAATCCACATGGTACACAAGCCAAGATCCTGCTCAGGACAACAAGCTGCTGCATTTGCATTTAGTTTCTTGGATGGATCTCCAAAACAGCACTTTCGATTTCACTGATCCACACGGGCAAATCATCCCATAGTAAAACACCACCTACCCTTCAAAGTTAGATGTTCAAAGCCAGATCATCAATCGGGCTTTAAAACCGGCGGCTGACGAGGGTAGGGAGCTCGTGGTCCTGAGCAGCACCAGATCATCACCGCCGCGCCTCCTCTTCCTCGCTTGTCCCCCACCCCCCACCCGCCGCCTGACGCCAATTCGAATCAAGAAAAGGACTAGTTCCTCTCGAACACCACCACCTCCTCGGTTCGGTTGTTCTTTTTCGACACTTCCTTGGACGTGTCCGGATTTTGTGCGCCCGTCTCTTGGACTCTTTCCAGGGGTTTCTGATTTCCTCTTTCATTCCTGGACCACGCTTCTTTGTTCTTGAACCGCAAGAACTGAAGTTGATGCTTCACAATTGAGAGAGAGAGAGAGAGGGAGAGGGAGAGAGATTGATGCTTTTGCAATTCATCTGAAGATAGGAATTTTTCCGTAAGAACCATGGCGGCTGAATCCAATGGAGACCCAGAATCGCTCACGCAGCCGTTACTCACCTTGCAAAGATCCAACATAAACTCCACTTCGCAGGTGGCCATTGTCGGAGCCAACGTGTGCCCAATTGAGAGCCTTGACTATGAGTAAGTTTTACTTCCTTTCTGGGGTCTTTTCCCGAGACTCGATTCATCAGCGCGCTGTTCTTTTTCCGTACCCGAGTTGTTTAACTTGCAAAAAATTGGAGCTTTTTTAGTTATTTTTTCGTGGGAATTCTTGATTCTTGGGTGCAGGATTGCAGAGAATGATTTTTTCAAGCAAGATTGGAGGACAAGAGGGAAGAGCCAGATTTTCCGGTTCATATTTATGAAGTGGTTGTTATGCTTTTTGATTGGTGGGATTGTCGGTGTTGTTGGGTTCTGCATCAACCTTGCTGTTGAGAACCTTGCAGGAGTTAAGTTTGTGATCACTTCAAATATGATGTTGGAACGCAGGTAATGAAATCAATACTAACATCATTGCTATTTGTTTTGTTTTTGAGGTAATCTAAGATTAAGAGCATTGATCAAATTAGGCTTAGTTTAAATTGGTGGACTTGTGTTATCTGTGGATGTATGCAGAGTCAATGCAACTTGCAATCAGAACTGTTTGGTTTTCTCAGAGACTTAAGTACTACAGAAAATAAAGCATTGGACTAGCTTTGTTTGTAAAAGTTTGTTTTTTCGCCTTCCAAGCAGAGAAACCTTAATAATATCATCTAATTCCTCCTGCAGGTTTGGAATGGCCTTTCTTGTTTTTTCTCTTTCCAATTTCGGGCTCACTCTTTTTGCGGCCCTTATCACAGCATTGGTGTCACCAGCTGCTGCTGGTTCGGGTATTCCGGAAGTTAAGGCTTACCTCAATGGTGTGGATGCACCAGGAATTTTTACATTGAGAACATTGTTTGTAAAGGTAAAATTTCATGCATTTGGTTTCTCGCTTCGTCAGTTTCTGATTGTATATATCTTGAAATTTCCTTATTGATGTTTTCACAAGCATCTCTTCCTATCCTGGATGTGAGAGGCGAGAGTAATTGGCTTGTAAGAGAGTATCAACATGATTATGCTTGTTGTAGAGTTGCCACTTGAGTTAACACGATTTTTTACAGATTAGCACGCATGATATCTATTGAACATTGCCATTTTTATCCTGTATGTTTTTATCTTGATCTATTTAATCTATTAACCATTACCTCGTCTTTTCTCCATACTCCCCTCTCTTGAAGCGGTCAGGATGAATCTACCCATCTTTTCTGATCGGCTTGTTGACAATACTGGCCCAAAAATTCTCAGAGACTTCCTTGAGACCAGTGAAATATGTAGGACTGAATTTGTCTTGGCTGACCTAGAAGAGGAATTTCATGGATCCTCTCTTAAAATATAACTTATTTAATATCCTTAAAATTGCAAACCCTTTTAAAATTTTGACTATCTTCAGGAATATAAATATTTTGGATGAAAAGGAACTATGCTTGGCTGATTCTTTTACAGTTCAATTTGTGATGACTGTGCTAGTTCAAGCTTTATTTGCATATTTTCCGCTATTCCTGGAAGTGTAACTGTTTAGCTAATTTGTCATTTAAGGTATAGCCTTTTAAGGATGTTCTCTGTCAAGTTTGTGAGAGTCTCATGGGACATGTTCCAATTGTCAGATTATTGGGAGCATTTCTGCAGTGTCATCATCACTTCTTGTTGGCAAGGCTGGACCCTTGGTGCACACTGGTGCTTGTATCGCATCACTATTGGGTCAAGGTGGGTCAAAGAAACATGGTTTAACTTGGAAGTGGCTTCGGTATTTTAAGAACGATCGAGATCGGCGAGACCTTGTAACATGTGGATCAGCTGCTGGAATTGCTGCTGCATTTCGTGCCCCGGTTGGTGGTTTGCTGTTCGCCCTTGAAGAGATGGCGTCTTGGTATGATGAATTGTCCCGATACGCTGCTTTCTTCTGATGCCTCCATTTGTCTATTTAGCAAGTAGAATCCTTGCGATTCAAAATCTCATTGTTCTCACAAGTCCTGGATATCGGACTTGTTAGCAGGTCGTATTTACCTTAGTTCTGAAAAGCTGTAAAAAATTGCTGGTCAAGTACAGAAATCTGGTGTTCTGATATTAACTGTTTATTTGAATTCCTATTTTAACTTATTCTGATTGCCAGGAAGAGATGCTTCTGGGCTTCCTTTCTGTTCTATCAGCCAGTCTGTTTCTCCCCGTTTTTGGTTCTTGGCTGTGTTTGCTTAAGTTGTTTGCACTCTCTCCTTGCTCTTATTATCTGGTTTTGAGATATATCGCTGCAACTTATTGACTATCTGAGATCTTGTAGTATTTTATATTCCATGGCAGTATGTGATGTCATTGCACGGAATAATCTTTATTTTCTTTTACAGGTGGAGAAGTGCCCTGGTGTGGAGAGCTTTCTTTACTACAGCTGTAGTGGCAATCGTGCTAAGGGCTCTCATTGACGTCTGTTTGAGTGGAAAATGTGGGCTTTTTGGGAAAGGAGGGTTGATAATGTATGGCGTTACCTCGTCAAATGTTGCCTATCACATTGTAGATGTACCTCCTGTACTTCTCCTTGGTATAATAGGTGGATTGTTGGGCAGCTTGTATAACTTCTTGCTGGAGAAGGTTCTTCGTGTCTACAACCTCATCAACGAGTAAGCTCCCTTTCCTTTCCTCACCAGTAATCACAAATATGTGATTATGCAGTAACGATCAACTGATCGCAACAATGACTTCTTTCTTTCAGGAAGGGCATTCCCTGCAAAATTGTGCTTGCTTGCTGGATTTCAATTTTCACGTCGTGTCTCCTGTTTGGACTACCGTGGCTGGCATCTTGTCGAGTTTGTCCGATCGATGCTGGAGAAGCCTGTCCCACCATAGGCCGATCTGGCAACTACAAGAAGTTTCAATGTCCTCCCGGACATTACAACGATCTTGCCAGCCTGATATTTAACACGAATGATGATGCAATAAAAAATCTCTTTAGCAAGGGCACAGACGACGAGTTCCAGTACTCTTCTATAATTATATTCTTTGTCACATGTTTTTTCTTGAGTATACTTAGCTATGGCATTGTTGCTCCCGCTGGCCTTTTTGTTCCTGTAATAGTTACTGGTGCATCTTATGGGCGTTTTGTTGGAATGTTGATCGGTTCTCATTCCAATCTTAACCATGGTCTTTTTGCTGTGCTGGGTGCTGCTTCTTTTCTTGGTGGATCTATGAGGATGACAGTTTCTCTTTGTGTAATCCTTTTGGAACTGACGAACAATCTGCTGTTGCTACCCTTGATGATGGTGGTTCTTCTTATTTCAAAGACAGTAGCTGATGCTTTCGACAGCAACATCTATGACCTTATCATGAAAGCAAAGGGCTTTCCGTACCTTGAGACCCATGCCGAGCCATTTATGAGACAACTAACTGTTGGTGATGTAGTGAGCGGGCCCCTTCAGCTGTTTCATGGCATCGAGAAGGTCGCTAACGTGGTGCATGTGTTGCGAACTACAAGGCACAACGGGTTTCCCGTCATTGATAAACCTCCACATTCAGAGTCCCCCTTTCTGTATGGTTTAATTCTCCGTGCTCATCTGACAGAGCTTTTAAAGAAGAAAGCTTTTTTGTCTGATCCAGTTCCGACAGATATTGATGCCTTTAAGCAGATTTCAGCGGAGGACTTCATGAAGAGGGGATCGGGTCATAATAACATGATAGAAGATATAGAATTGACTGAAGAAGAAATGGAGATGTTCTTGGATTTACGTCCATTTACTAATGCTTCACCTTACACAGTTGTGGAGACGATGTCACTTGCAAAGGCTCTTATACTATTCCGTGAAGTTGGCTTGAGACATCTGCTGGTGATCCCTAAAATCTCTGGCGTAAGCTCCCATTTTCACTTCTTTAATTCTATCAAAAGCTATTCTATTTCTATTTTTGTCTTTTGCATCGAGATACTCTACTGCCAATGTAAATAGAGTTCTACACCGTCATTCAGTGATCTTGCTCATATCTCTAGTCCTGTATCTACTTGCAAAATAGACTTTTTCTTTTTGGTTGATGCAGTTGACGATATATAAAAAACACCGATGCTTCCTTCTTTTCAGCAAATTGGGCCATTTTTCAGAATTACATCAATACCATCCTCCTTTGGACTCACGTACTTGGTTCTCACCCTCACCTCTTCCATTCTTATTTCACTTGATTCTCTTTCTTATGTCCAAGTTTAACCCTGTGAAAAGACTTTGGTGAAGACTGCCAAATATTTATGTGGCTTCACTAGCTCAGCTTTGCACTAGGATGTTCTCCTCTCCGTTTAGCTGAATTTCTGTATATACAGCTACTTGACATTTTGTGGCGTCCTAGTTTCACTTAAAAATCAGAGCAGATCAGGGTGAGGGATCACAATTGATTTTTCTTCTCATCTCTTGCCAGTATTTGGTGTGATACTTTGATGTGACTGGGTGCATAAATATTTCTGCTTTAGTTGAACATATTCTTTTATGTTTTTATTTTAATCTCGACACTCTTTTATTGCAGAGATCGCCTGTGGTGGGCATATTAACAAGACATGATTTTATGCCCGAGCATGTGTTGGCAGTGCACCCAACCCTCATTAGGAGCAGATGGAAGAGATTAAGACTACAGTTTCCCCGCCTATTAAAACTATCTTAGCATAGCCCGTTGAGCATTCAGGAATTTATCCAGGAAAATTGCTGCTCAATCAGGCCAGATTTTGTGGGATTCATGCAGCATAGAGCTTATTGGAAGCTACTTCATTATAAGGTCAGGCCCTGATTGAACCCTACAAACCCTGGAACATTAGCCCTTGGCCTTACTAATCGAGCATTGTGAAAGCGGCGGGTTGTAATTTATTTGCGGGATAGAACGTAAAAATAGGAAGTTTTGGCTTGCATTATCTTAACGGTGCGGGATTACTTCTGCTGTGACTGAGATGCTAACGATGCAGGGGACTAATGACAATAAGATCAAAGATGTGCGGAAAACTGTGGATAGTTTCCCTCTTATGCAGTAATTTATAAACAGGAACACTCCCTCCTGTGTACTGATTACTTACGCTAAATGTACACCAAATTACTTTTAGATGTGGTAAATTTTGCATGATGTCGTTAAGTCCATGAGCATGAAATCTGTATGTCGCTACGACATCCATTTAACAAGACACATTGGCTTCGAAACCCGGAACTCCTGTGTGCAAACTCTTGTAGAGTGTCTGCAGAATTATGTTCATTCATCACTGCTGTAACCCTTCCTAGTTAGCACAAGACCCGTCGCATTTTAAGCATTGAATCACCACAATGCCACGGGCACGAACCACATCCATCGAGTGCATGCTGGTCGCGAGACTGCAAAGCAAATTTCCAAGTGTGTCTGAGCATATCTGCGATCATGATTGAAACATTCAATTTGATTGAAACATTCAATTTTCATATCTGCGATCATGATTGGAATATTCAATTTGATTGAAACATTCAATTTCCACGAAGCTACTTGTAAGCGGTTTGAATTCATAAGGTTGAATCAAGTGCGGGCCCTGCCTTCTTATCCATCACTTTCATTTCATCTCATAAAATCTCGTGCTAAACGTGTACGGCCTTTGGTCAAAGTCTTCCAAATTTGTGCGTTCCTTGGAAAATATCAGGTCCTGGCATGCTTATAGAGGTGACTCGCCTTTTTCTAAATTTGACAAGTTCTCTTTCACCATTAATTTCTATATAAAAAAAGGAAAAATAAAGAAAATGAAGAAAAATAAATTCACAAAGATATTATTATCAGAAAAATTAATATCAATGATACTATTATAAGATAATTCTTTTTTAAACTTTGCTGAATATATTAATAGAACTAATAAGATACTTTAAGAAAAAAGAAACAAAAGTAAAAAGGAAAAAAGCCTCAATAACAAAAAGATCAAATCACAAAAATTGGATACTCATTATATACTTAATAAAATATATGGTTAATATCACGAAAAATCCAAGTGATACATCTGTAATAAATTTATCAAAAACTAATTTTTTTTATCGCCAAAAACCTCAAATTGGTACACCTATGACAAATTTACCCTACGTTAGTTTCTAGTAAATTTACCGTCAAATTACTGAGTTGAATGACACGTGACAGTTGATGGGTGTACTAGTTCGGGGTTTTTCATGGTATTAATCCAATTTAATGGAAACTAACGGAGGGTAAATTTGTCACAAATGTACCGGTTTGTGGTTTTTGGTGATAAAAAAATTAGTTTAGGATAAATTTATCAGGGGTGTACCAGTTTGAGGTTTTTCGTGATATTAACCCTAAGATATATTTACAAATATCACCTCATATTTTGATCAATCATTTGCTTTTACTATAGATGGAGCTTTTATAAAACTTCAGAACATTTGGCAAAATTATTATTCTAGATAGATATATGTGTTGACATGGGAAAAGTCTGTCCGCCTATTTGGTTCAAACTAAGCTGCGGCGAAAAAAAGGAGCGATCGCATCTACACGGAGAAGGAATAGTTACCTCTCTCACGTGCCCTGAACGACCGGAGCACGCAATGAAGAACGCTGGTTTCATCTTTAAGGCTGAAGAAGCTCAACTCAAGGAGCACGCAAGTTTCATCTAATATGGCTTCAGTGATACTCGGAATCTTTCTACTACTTGTTCCACTTCCACTTTCTGCCGAAGCTCAGACCTCCGGCAACCTAACCTTGGGCCACTCGTTAACGGCGGATGACAGGAACTCTTCCTGGCTTTCGCCGTCGCGCGAGTTCGCCTTCGGGTTCGGGAGAATGGGAAGTGGAGCTCATTTGTTGGCTATATGGTTCGAGAAAATAGAGGACAAAACCATAGTCTGGTCGGCGAATGGCGGTAATCTAGCACCCGAAGGTTCGACAGTCCAGTTGACCGCCGACAACGGACTGGTGCTTGCCGACCCAAAAGGAAGAGAGCTGTGGTCTTCTAGCCTGACCGGCACCGGCGTAGCATATGCGGCCATGCTCGACACGGGCAACTTCATCCTAGCAAGCACGAACCGCGTCAAATTGTGGGATACGGTCAGCCAACCGACCGACACCATACTGCCTACGCAACAGTTAGGTCAAGGGAGTATAGTTAATGCTCGCTATTCCGAAATGAATTACTCAGCCGGGAGATTCCACTTGATACTGCAAACCGACGGCAATCTCGTGCTCTATCCCACTCCTACCCCGTTCGTCGTCTCAGATGCATATTGGGCCACCAATACCCAGGTGTCGGCTCCCGGTTGATATTCAATCAAAGTGGTCAGGTCTACCTCGTGGATAGGAATGGAACAATACTCAATATCTTCACCTCGGACCCAATTCAAACCAGCGGATTTTACCAAAGAGCGATCCTTGAATACGATGGGGTCTTCAGGCAATATGTCCACCCTAAGACCGCAACTTCGAGTTCTGGCTGGGCAATGGCCTGGTCGATGGTCTCTTCCCCGGTCCCTCCAAATATATGCACGAGCATCACCCAAAATATCGGTCCTGGAGTTTGTGGCTTCAACAGCTACTGTGCTCTTGGAGACGATAAGATTCGGAGGCCCCGATGCCACTGCCCACCTGGATATACTCTGTTAGATTCAACGAACGAGATGAACGGATGCAGACAGGACTTCATACCACAAAGTTGTGACGGAAGTAGGCCGGAAACAGGCCAGTTCACTTTCCAGCACATGCTCAATACAAACTGGCCACTGTCTGATTACGAGCGTAGTACGGCACAAACCGAGGACTGGTGCAGAGAGGCTTGCTTGGCTGATTGTTTTTGCGCAGTTGCTATTTTCGGCGACGGAATTTGCTGGAAAAAGAAGATTCCTCTTTCAAATGGACGGATGGTTCCTAGTGAGATTGGAAAAGCTCTGATCAAGGTCAGGATACAAAACTCGACTTCAAAATCTACAGGAAACGGAAACAAGAATTCTACTCTGATTATCATCGGATCAGTGCTGTTGAGTAGCTCTGTGTTTGTGACCTTTCTGTTACTCATTAGCTATTTAATTTATAAAAGCTTCCGATCTAGGGATTCTAAGTTTTCACGACCAGTCCAGATCAACCAAGCCACAGGCACGCAGATTTTCACTTATCGGGAGCTTCAACAAGCAATAGATGGATTCAAAGAAGAACTGGGTAGGGGTGCTTGTGGAACAGTGTACAAAGGTGTTCTTGGATCCGAGGGTACAAACTTTGTGGCAGTAAAAGTGTTGGCGACAAAGACCGGAGAAAGTGAAAAGGAGTTTGAAAGTGAAGTGAGTGCAATTGGCTGAACTAACCACAAAAACTTAGTGCAGTTGCTTGGATTCTGCAATGAAGGTCAACACCGACTACTGGTGTATGAATTCATGAGCAACGGCAGTTTGGCAGATTTTCTATTTGGCGCTTCAAGGCCCAGCTGGTACAAAAGAGTAGAAATTGCCTGTGGTGTTGCGCAGGGGCTCTCTTACTTGCATGATGATTGCGCCAGGCATATAATCCACTGCGACATCAAGCCGCAAAATATTCTTCTTGATGGCTTTCTCTCTGCAAAAATATCAGACTTCGGATTAGCTAAGCTCTTGATGGCGAACCAAACACGAACCACCACTGGAATCAGAGGAACGAGAGGTTATTTAGCGCCAGACTGGTTCAGGAATATGCCTATTTCTAGCAAAGTAGACGTTTACAGCTTTGGCATTTTGTTGCTAGAGCTCATCTGCTGCAGAAAGGGTAGTTTGTTTGTAAAACAAACAAAAAGGTGTCTTGTCCCACATCAAAAGGATGTGAGTGCGCACGTGGACGATATTTGTCACTAATCAACGATCATTAATTTTTATTTATTAAATTTCGAATTTATTATTATAAAATAACTGTTTTGTCCTATTGAAACAGTGTGACTGTTCGCAATAGAGTGGCGGTTATTTTTTAATAATTTAATTTCGAATTTTTATTTTTTGCCTAATGGTTATTAGGCACGTTTGCAACCTTTGGAAGATTGTGTCTGTTCGGACATAACTTCCTCACATTCGAAAGGTTATGTTTGTTCAACTAAAATAACTTCTTCAAGTTGAACAACTATTTTTTCTTAAAAAGAGATATACAACCATCTTTTCTAATTGTTTCCCTAGAGAGACTCTAGAGATATACCGAAATTGCTATTCGGTATTCTCAATCGAGACTTTGTTGTATCCTGGAGGAAATTTGCCGGTGACCATTAGCAACTTCGTGGGGCAAATAATTCCTTAAAGAAAGTGATATCACGTCTCAAAGTCTGACTTCGTTGTTTATCCCGTTTGAAGTTGAAGTTTCTTTTCTTCTACAAATTCGGAGGAGCATAATTTTTCCAACAATTTTAAGGAATTATTTGGGCAACGATGGAGTCAGACTTTGATTACCTAATCGCATACAAATTGCGTAATCCTTTTTGTTTTCTACACATTCCATGGCGATTTGTGGAGATGGCATGATTGAGTGTGTGGTTGGTGATGCCAAGTTAGACGTGCCAAGGAGGAGGATGTGGAATTATCTTGTGGAACCAAACCAACGCAAACGAAGAGGTAACGTGAAACGTAATTGGCATCAGAACCTCCGAACGGTATATCACCGAATCCAAATCCAAAGCACAGATCTTGCAAATTTATTTCCCTTCTTCTTCTTCTCTCTGATTCTGGGTCACTTTTGAGAGAGAGAGAGAGAGAGAGAGAGAGAGAGAGAGAGAGAGAGAGAGAGAGATGTTGGAGTCGATTTGTCTGACGTTGGTGGACACCGCAGGCAATAACATCGGGAAGGTTTTTCAAAAGAAGAGCACGGCCATTTTGTCCCCTCTTTTTCAAGCTCAAGGTTATTAGAGCATATGCTCTCAACAGAGATTGGGCCGTTGGGTTTTTGATGGACATACTTGGAGCATTGCTGATGTCGATAGCTTTATCTCAGGCTCCAGTATCTATTATTCAATCGGTTTCTGGTTGTGGACTAGCTATTCTTTCAGTATTCTCTGATTTTTCTTTGAAGGAAGTCACGAATGCAGTTGACTGGATGACGATCACATTGGCGGGAAATCATATGTGGTTGTGCTGATCTGATCTGATATTCTCATCTCACATGATATTTACCTTGGTCTCAAATGACCATTTCGGCGAGGCTGTGGACTTTTACCGCTTAATGCGAAAGGATGGTTTATTGCCCGATTACTT